GGAAAGTATTATAACTGAGCAAGGGGCAAGGGACAGTGCTGGGAAACTTCCCTAATATTTATGTTAAAGAAATATTTTCTTACTCTATCATCAAGAATAACCCTACTGACTTTTCATGAACATAACTGACAAAAATTCTTTGAAATCTGAAGAGTTCTAAACCTAAATATCATATATAGCACTGTTCATGATTTATTAGCCCAACTATAACTGATTTAAGCCAGAAATTCTGGAACCATGTTTGAAATGAAGCCCCATAGATTTAGGTGTCCCCTTCCTCCTCCCCAAACAGGGAAAATACTCCACAGCCATGAGAAAAGAGAATTTCTACTTGTTATAATTAGCAGCAGCAATATGGTTTCTCAGAAAGGAACAGTATTTCTGTTAAGTTTAATCTGTCTTGTTATCATGCAACTCAGTTGCACTTCATTCCTCAGCTCTGAGAAACAGATTAGAAGGATAAGAAACAGTTTTTATAATTAAAACTTAAATACACCAGAATGTTAATACAGGTGGAAACTCTTATCAGTTACCGTAATGATCCAATGCAACTATTCAGTGAATTGACAATTTGCTACATTTTTATATAGTATCAACTGATATTTTTATTAAAAAATATCATTTCTTTTCCTTTATTAATTTTATTGAAAGATTTCCACATCGCAAAAGAAAAAGTCTGTGATGACACACAGTTCAGAAAAGACGTAAAGCAGAAATACTGATCATCAAATAAAACTAAACAGTTGAATTTTCTTAATTCACTTTTGATAATGCTGCTGAGCAAAACAGTCCCTACTTACGGTTTTAGAACGCACAGTGAAGCCTTTATTTACTGCACTCTTGCTCAACTGTGTATACTGGACATACTTCTCACTCACTCAAGTCTAGGATGCAGGTTTTTCTAAAATCTTTCCTGTTGTAAGGATGCGCTATACTCCCTCACCCTCGTGGCGCAGGGGCTGAGAAGAGTGGCAGGTTTCTTTTGTCCACTTGTTACAGAGGGAACTACCTGCATTTTCACTCCTGCATCCACTCAGACACAGCAACTTGACAAAGACAAATCTGCCCGTAGCTATATGGGGAAAAGATGATTTATTCTGTCTGGTTTGAAGACAGAATCTCATCCTAGGAGTTTTAGGATGAAGACTACTTTATCAAGGATTACGTGTACAAAGTGGCCTACCTCTTCACTGCTGTCAGTTCCTTGAAAGTTATCTTCACTTTGGGTTTCCCCTAGAGCCAAATTACCATCTTGATTCAAATCCAAAGGGAAAATGCAACCTTCTGGTGACATATCTGGAGACTTTCCATGACAAGCTGACCGAGGTCTTGATGAAAATGTGAAAACGTCTTTATGAGTCACTTGGTCATCACCTGTTTCATTGCCTTCAGTGGCATTCTGTGGTGAGACTAAATTAGGGCAGGCTGAATCTTGAGTAGTTACAAACTGCCCACCCTTGTCCAAATGAAAAGTCTCACTGACAATTTCTGGAAACACCCATTCATCTGAAATTAGCAAAAGGTAATAAAATTATTGCCATGCATAGCAAAATGTTTACTTTAATGACAAATATGTAAATCGTATTTTATAATAAACACTTTCTTGCTCTCTGAAAGTCATACAGCAAAGTAAGTTTTGTTATATAGAAACATTCTTCTGTATCAGTTTTACGTATCTGGAAAAGTGACAAGGATGTAACGAAAGAGACCTTGCTGCTTTTAGGTCAATCAAAATGATTCCCCATTCCAGCTCAAAGAACGTGCAGGCCACAATATGTAACACGCAAGCCTGCAATTTGCAAATCTGAAACTATTCAGTTATTAAGATTTGATACTGTTCAACTGAATTCCATTCTAGGAAAACATAATTTTATTCAATTTGCGTATTTTGTTTTTTGTGGCTGGTAATTTCTAAAAAAAAAAACCTAAGCAGAAAGCTTATAATATTGCAATCTGCTGCTTCTTTATTGCTGAAATTCTACACTTTCTTTTATGTCCAGAATCTATGGTTTAAATCTCAATTTCAAACTACAGCTCTGCTGAAAAATAGCTTGACATGAAATATGCATGAAGATATCTGTTTCACCAGGTTTCCCTGCATACAGGCTGTACTAATCTGCCAATTTTAAAACAAACAATAAACTACAGAAATGGATTTAAAGATTGAGTGCACCAGATAAATAAGAAAAGACCGTTTTTATACTCTCACTGTTATATTTTACCAGTTGGAATGATGGTACAGAAAAAAATGTCAATTTGATTGATCAAAGCCAATCTCAAATAGCATCTGAGAAAAGGAGAATTGCTCAAGTATGCAATACTCCGTTATCTTCATTAAAGGTAGTGTAGTGTGGATTATTCACTAGATCTTGAAATTTCTGTCTCCATAAAACAAAGCTACTATCAACTATATTAAAAAAACTTCAATAGAAAATAGTAAAAATATAACAATAAAGTAGCACTGCAATAATTAAATGCCTGTCACAAAAGACAGTAAGATTACAATGGTATTTAACTCTTCCTTCTTAGTTTCCTATATAGAAATAATTATCACTTCAGGCAGAATCAACAGCTTTACCTGGGACAAAAACTTTCTGAACTCCCATAGAGGAAACAAAAAGGAGGAGAAAAATGAGAATGCCAGGAGAAAGAGTTGCCTTCTTCCTGGGCTGCTGTGAAATCTCTGGTTTATGGGAGCTGGTAGTGAAGCTACCACACTGTAGTTAACACTTACAATGGTAGTTTGCACAGGGAACCAGGCCAAAAGCAGGGACTTTGTGAATACACATCTTTTGCATTCATGGTTTGCAACTACTTGTTGCAGGTCAGACTATTTTTCAGCCTTTACATGAAGACCACTTATCATTACAAGCCCCACTGCTTTTCACGTAATCTGTTTTTATGTCAGACAATCCTGCTAGTTTAAAGTAATCTAACACACTATTGCCTAATAAACATGAAAAAAGTCTGTTTTGTAACTATATAGATATCTCATCTTCCTTTTTGAAGACTGTAAGACTTTTAAGATGGACACGTAAGTAATGCCATTTATTTTTACATATATTTTGGACTATTTTTTCAGGAGCCATAAGAAATGAGTGAGTACGCGAAGCTTTTGAGTCATTCTTTTTCTGTGTAAACCTCACCTTTTTTCCTGATCAATAACTGCTAGTGTTTTCAAAGGAGGACACCAGTGCAGAATCCTCCTTTCCTTGATCACTCAAGATTGCTTCACACTCATTTGATAACATATTTTTCTTACCCAAGTAATTGGAATTTTATGTGAAAAGTTGCATCTGAATAAAACTACAGTGAAGCATTAAGAGGAAAACACTGTTCTTCAGCCTGCATATCTCCAGCATTAATCATGAATTTGTATTTCTCAGTTTTCGTTTTCATTATAATATATATTTTGAGACCTGCACTTTTGAAGAAATCATTTCCCTCTACAAAAAATGATACAGGAGAAATCTTTTTATAAACTTTCACATGAAGCTGAATGCAACATTAGGATGCTTAAGAACAAGGACTCGAGGACTTTTTTTTTTTGCAATTGATTTTCTTACCTAAGATGGTTTAAAAACTATCTTGCCCTAGATCAGTATTTTAAAGTTAGTCTACCCAACCAGCTATGAACTTTCAGCTATTCTGACAGGAATCCGACCCACCAACCCTTAAATTGTTTTGAATGTCTTTGGCCCTGAGGATGCTGCCACATCTGTGACTCCAGAAAGTGCTGCATGTGGCCTGCAAAAATGCCACAAAAATGCCATCCCTCCCCAAACTTCACCTCACCTGGCTGGACAACTCTCCTGTATCTAAAGAGATCTCTTCCTCAGCTACTAGGGATGCTAAACAGGCACAGGCTAGAACGTTTCTAATTCTCTTTTCCAAGGTCCACTGTAATTTTCCATAATTTTCCAGATGCCTGCAGATGCAAGTATCTTCTTACAGGAGTGTGTTTATATAAAGTTTTTCAAGTTGGAAAGAACTTCTGTGATGGCCCTTTTTTGTTCTATTGCCATTACACAGAGCAGCAGTGTTTCATGTTCAGCAGCATCTCATGTTCAGCAACAACGTATGATCCAGTATCTTTTTGAGAAAAACACACAGCTGTGATTTAAAAACTTCTAGCAACAGAGAACTCTCTGTAAGTACTGGCATTTGTTTCAATACTTCATCACTCTGTGAAAAAATCCTTTACCTTACATTAAGTCTAGATTTGTTTGGCTTTGGTCCCAGTCATACGATTTTAAATCTTTATCTGATAGACTTTAATATCAAGTTTTTGTTTCTGCTGAAGATATTCACAGATTGTTTTCAATTCACTGCATTTTCAAAACAAAAAAAGTATCTTCAGTACTTACCTGGCTAAGACAACATATGCATTCACATCATGAACGGTGTTCAAGGAACAGGCAGTGTAGAGAAATAAAATTTCATCTCTTGAAAAGCAGAGCATTTATAGTGAAATTGAAACATGTTATGTGCGTTTTCACATGTTAACTGTCTGGGATTTACATTCTTTGATGTGCATGCACTGATCAGGCTGAACTATTTGCCAAATGGGAAAATAAAATGTGGTTGGAGACCACACTTTCAGGCAAAATATAGTTTTATGAATATAGTTTTATAATATAATTATGAAGCATAGACACAGGGAAATGAAGGAAGAAACATTCAAAAGCATTGTCTTGGCTCTTATCTAAACATAAGAACAGAGGTTTAAATGAAAAACGCTAACCAGTTTGTTTTCCTGTCATGATGTACAGAATCAATCCATACCATCAATAATTTTTGAAATGCAGTTACATCAAGACATATTGGTGGTTATGCCCACTGTGTTTAATCATTAAACATGCTTACTGAGAGCAGAAGGTGCCGTGTATAAAAGATTTTAATTTCTTGAGTGATTGCAGCTATAAATTAAATTTTCAAATCAAAGTTTCCTAGTGATAAAATACATCTCTTGTAGTATTAGAACTTCCTTTGACATCCTAAGACAGACTTGAAAGAGGATTTTAGGCTATTTAGTCAATTCCCCTATCTCAAAGCAAGACAACTATAGCTAAACTATTTAGGACAATTTAGTTTATCCTATTCTGAAAACCTTCTAACAGTGGTAATGCTACACATAATACTTTTTAATTAGCAAGTGTTCCCCACTTTCTCATTTAAATTTTCCTTGCAAAAAAACAGTCCTGTGACATTTTGCACTCTTTTTCTGAAACTAAAGATAGTACACAGGCTAACAAACACTATAAAACAGTACCTTGCATGTCTTTAAAATTACTCTACTTTTTTATAAACAAATAATTCCTAAGGTGACATTTGCTTTTTTTTTTCCTCCTTTTTTTTTTTTTTGCCAAGATATGCAATAAATGATGTATGTTCATACTGTGATCCAGTCCTTTGCACTTGCCCAAATCTCAAAACAGCTGCTCACACAGTTTTGTCGTTTTGCAGTTTTTCCTTTCTCAGCACTTTGCAGTCTTCTGATAAGTTTTGCACCCACCCTTCTGTAGTTTCATCTAGGCATGTTTTACTAAGTCAGTGGCTTGTCTAAGATCAAGATGCATGACATACACTTCTCCCATATTCAGAAAGTCTTTTTCCCCATCACAGAATTAGATTTGACATGTGCCACACTATATTTGTAGAGTTTTCAAAGGCTAACGGTTCAGACCATTGTAACTGGTCCCCTATGGTACGTTTATATACTCGGTATACAACCTACTTCATCAGAACCTGCTCATTTGTATGTCAAAAGAAATGAGAATGAAAGGACAGGAGAGCGTACTGCTTAAATCAAAACTACCACCAAAGAAAGATCTACACAGGTAATGCCTAAGTGCATTTGGCTTAATTTTTATTATGTTCTACTGACCTAATAACAACCAGCTCATCTAACTGCAGCCTCACCTGTTCTTCTCTCATTCTAGAATGGCTCCAAACTGCTTGTTGCTGTTTAATTTGCAGAGGTCATTATAGATAACATTTTGTAATGAATTCTGAAGCAGAAATGTGTTAAACCACTCAGCTTTTGTGATTTTAAGTCAATTTTGAATGAAGTATCAAAATATGAAAATGAAATCTTCAGTAACCATTTTTTTCAAGTAGTGAGAGAAGAGGAGATGATTAGATGCCTAAACATTCCTGACTCCAACTCCTGGTTCTGCTACAGACATCTCAGAACTTCTATACCTCACTCTATCCAGCACTGTTAGTAAAATAATAGTACCTTTACCCAAATCAAAAGCACTTCAGAAGCATAAAGACCTAGTTTAAAAGATTTAGTGTCTGTACAGTATTTAACCTTAAATTTTTGCTTTTTCAGCCTAACCTTCTCTGTAAAGAACAATATTAGTTTCCAGAGATGCTGAAGAAATATACTTGGTATAAGAGTAAGTTCAATGCAAACATAATTAGCTTGTGTATTACAGTACTTATTCATAAGGTAATATGCAGGGGGAAGATATGAAAGTCTGTAAGACTGAAAGACAACATTTTACACTGGTTATGGAGCTCAGTAACTTCTGTAACCTGTAGTCAGTGTAGCATTTTGTTAATAATCTACAAGTGAAAGGGATGGGGTGTTCTGGACCAAATCAAATCCTATCATCTCTCAACCACAAACTACACTGGATTTTTTTTACCTCAGCATTTCCATGTCAATTGTAATGAACAATTTGGAGTATCTTCTTAGCAAAATATGGAAATTACTATGTAATCACAACATTGCAGCAAACAAGATAAATGCAAGAATGATCACCTAAACATCTAATTAGTTCTTCTAGACAAATTTATGCTGGAGCTTCTAATTGCAGCCTAACATTCTAATGTAGGTTTCAACATATCATAATTAAGATTGGCATACTATAAACAATGCTCACTCATTCTATTTTCCCCCTATAGAAGATACGTTCATGAGAGCTCTATAACTAAAGATTATTATTATGAATAGCAGTGGCTCTCTCTAAGGTAACAAGGAAACTCACCTATGAACCTCCTCTTCACCCAATAAAATTTAAAGTAATATATGCATTCTCTGCTTTGGATATCAGAAAAATGTGAAGTGATTTTCTTCAGATTGCCTTTTAATTCCTGAGGCACGAATCCAACTTCTCATATTGAAGTTAGTAGCAAAATTCACAGTGACCACAACAAGAACATTTTATCTTTCATTAACAATCCATGAAAATGTTTGTGACCTACACCTGGAAATGTCTTTCTGTACAAAATACGCTTTCACTTAAAACATGTTAAAACATTACAAAATGTGAACTTTTCTCAAAGAATGCTTATCCTTCTCTGAGGGCAAGTTTTTCCAACTACCATCGTTGGAAGAAGTTCAGAATAAAGCACAGCAGAAGACTTTTCTCCAATGAATAGGTTGCCTATGGGGAGCTCTTCAAAACAGATTAATTCAGTACTACTGGAGAACACAACCACCATCAAGGCAGCTATGTAAAGTTAAACCTTGCATGTTTTAAAAAGAAACTGAAATTTGTAAACTGAGCTACCAGTTCCAAGCAAACAAAATATGAAGGGAAAAAATGTTTGGAGAATAGTAACTTACAATCTGATTTGGTATCTTTATCTGCTCATGTACACAATTAGTACTAAGCAGAATCCAAACATATCCCTCTATCAAAAAAGCAGTGTTTTCATTATCACATACACAAACAGCAAAATGATAGTCTTTATGTCTAGCTTTCTTCCTTAGTTTGTCTTCTCTTTTTATAGTAGGGCATTTAAACGTTTCAGTCCACTGTCCCAAGTCTCTGTCCCTTCATATCACTTATAGCTACATAAAACAACAAGCGTTAATTCATTTTTCTGGAATTCTAGCACTAGATATAGGTCTCACTTTTCTAGATGAAAAAAACAATACAAAACAGTGATTCCTGCCCCAGAATCCTCAAAATTCCCGTATGTAGTCATTTTGCATTTGTTTCAACCGAACTATGATATCCATGATAGCAATTATGGATCACTAACACTGTCATAGTAGAGCTGCAAAAAATTGCTTCTAAACATCCCAAAGATTAAACAAAATGGTAATAACTCATAACGTGAAGGAAAATTCTTTTGGAGAATTCTGAGCATATCCGGGCAGTATGCCTGCTTTGCAAGCTGATATCTATGCATTTCATAGAAAATAATGCTACTTTTTCAGACACCAGGGCTATTTTTGCCACAATGTTATGCTTTCTAGACACAGTCAGAGCAAGGTGATTGACACCGTATAAAAAAAAAAAAAACACAGCTTTTTGCTTGGTAGGTAAGAAAGGGGAAAAAAAGATAAACTGAGTTGCTTTTCTGTGAATAAAAAAAAATGAAGAAAATTAACCACAGAACTTCAACATTCCCTAATCCCAAACCTAACATTGCGTGAGTACCATAACTGAAGTCCTAAACTCTTACCTGGGACAAGTTAAAGCTCTAGTACTTCCAATGTTTGGAGTCTTCAGTGTTAAATGTAATAGGGATTTAAAGAATAAATTATTTTTAGTTCTATCCCTTTAACCATGAGAGCATGAGATTTTTCTTTTTTATTCATTCACTGCTCTGGTACTCTGCTTAATCCTGCAAATCTTTATCAATGCTAAAAAGCAATTCTGTTGCAGGGTGTTTGATTTTCATAATCCCCGCAGCACAGACATTCATATTTTATGTGAATTGCCTCAGAAGCCTTTGAAATTTACAACAGATAAGACTCCTACCCCACACAGACCTGAGATGTGAAATAACAGAAAATGAGCATCATACCATTGGTTATCTCCCATGTGGTTTTGGCAGCATTTTTTAGACATAATCTTCTACGACTGTTCCTGTCTGTCGATGGTGCTTCTGGTGGAGGGAGCTGAAGATCTGCTGTTCCACTGTCAGAAGTTTTCTGGGTCTGGTTTGCCCAGTCTGAAATATAACCCAGAATCTGACTGAAAGCTTGTGAACACTCATACTGTGCACTTTTCTCATTTGAGGCCTGAAAGAGCAGCATGTGGAGCAATCTCCTAGGATGCAAACAGCTTCCTAACAGTATGAGAAACTTGTGGGGCAGCAGGAACACAACAATCACAAGAAAGTCAAAGCTTAACATTGGCTTTGGAGAAAGGGCAAGCTATAGAAATTATAAGAACAGACTATAAGAAGAAAGAACAGAAGAAAATGGTTTAAATGTGCTACGTTATCAAGAGCCATACCAATCACTTGTGTTGGTTTTAGAGAGGAAAAGCAACAGTAGAAGAAAAAAAAGGTAAAATAATGGCTATATAATAATTATGAGATCAAGATATTTTAAAACAAAATTAAAATGAAATAACACAATTCTCAGATGAAGCTGAATGATGACGTGAAGCCTGCAAAACGATCAAGAACAACTAAGGATCTGTGTCAAGTGCACTACACTAACACAGCTATATACATAGTATGAGGGAAGGAGTGTACACCCTGTGGCTACTTAGGAAGTGGCAGTGGTCACTGGCTCAAAAGCTTACTACACAAAATACCTGCTGAGAAAATGAGCCTTTAATCAAGCTCGTACAGAAGAGTAAACCATTATTTAATATACATATATCCAGTAATTAACAAGTTAGATAAAAAGCTTTCTAAAGTCAGAAGTTACTCAAAAATTTTGGCAGTTTGTGAACTCTTTATATATTTTTTACTTTAGATCCTTACCATTTTGATGTACATCTTCAGTTTGGTAAGTATTTCCTTTGCCTCCTTGATCTAGAGATTCATTGCACAGTGAGAATGATAGTTCTGACCTCTCAACATCTTGTAGGACTTCAGTTCCCTCTTCTAAACTTTGAAGTTGGCACGATCTATTAGTTTGGCTCCCCACAGTCTTTGTTACCTTGAAAGACATTATTTTCTTAATTAAAAAAAAAAAAGTAACAGCTTTCAAAATATTCAAAGCTAAATACAGATTTTGAATTGAGTTTATTTTCCAAAGTTAGTGAGACATCATGCTATTTTAGCCATCCCTCAGAAGGAGTCCTTTCTTTAAAGAAAACCCCTATCTTGCTTTCCCTCTTAGCTTCCAGTTGACTTCCTACAGAATAGTGCACCTCCTTCTACTTCCTTTGGCCCGGTCCCTTCTTAAGTTTTTTAAACTGGGACTCATACTCCTCAGCAGATTCCCAGCACCTGCACATTGCTTGCTAGCACAGTGAGACCAACTGTTTTCCCTGGCATTGTGACTGACAGCATCACATGAGCTACTACATGGCTATCATCCACTGACAGTGTCTCTAAATACAGTTTCTTTTCTGAATTATGGGAAAATGATCTACACTATGGAAAAAAAACCCATGCCACACCCCAGTAAGATGTTAACAAAAATTTCAGAAAAATAAGAACTGTAAGAAATCACAGAATAATTTCAGTAGGAAAAGACTTCTGCAGACCTTTAGTCCAACTGCTCACTCAAAGCAGGGCTAATGCTGAAACTAAATCTAGTTGCTCAAAGCCCTGTTCAGTCAAGTTTTCAATGTCTTAAGAACGGAAATTCTACAATCCCACAGCGGCCCTGTTCCAGTACTTAACCACTCTTCTTTTTCCTTACATCCAGTCAGAGCTTCCCTTGTTGCAAAGTGCAACTGCTGCCTCTCATCCTTTCAATCCTGTTACTGTTCACCTCTCAAAAATTTGGCCCTGTCTTCTCTGTAACCTGCCATTACATAGTTGAGAAGAGCAATTAGATTCTCCTTTAGCCTCTTCTTCTGCAGGCTGAACAAACACAACTCCTTCAGCTTCTTTTCGTACGTCAGGTGCTCCAGCCCCCGTGCGTTTTAGTTGCCCTCCACACTGGACATTCTCCATTTTGTCAATCTCTTTCTTGTATTGGGGGCCCAGACTGAACGCAGTACTCTCGATACAGCCTCACATCAGTTCTGAGATAGACTCCTCTACACAAGTGCTACTAATTTAGTGACAGTTAATGCCTTACCTCTCCAGATACCCTCATGCTGACTCTTCTGCTTGAAGGTGGGGGTGGCCCAAGGATCTTTGATCCAAATGCAATATGTGACACATCCTGAGTTCTATTGCTCCGTATATTACCTTGTCTTCTACTAATTGAGCGACCTGAGAAAAATAAACAAGAGACATTTCCAAATTTGTTTTACATAATTGTTTTAGCTTGATCACAGGTTTAAAAATGTGTTACAGTAACTAAAAAGAATACTAATACTTTTTCAAATCAACAGAAATAAAAGAATTATACATATTATACATGCATAAAACGTATCTTCCTTTATAGCATAACCCCTCTAAATATGTGGTCAGAGTTCACTATCTTAGTGCTCAAAACAAAAACACAATTTAGAAGCAAGAAGCCTTTAGTCTATTATATAGCTATATTTCTAATCTATTTGTTTTAAAGAGTTATTTTATATCGGGGCTATTTATAAACAAAAGTCTAATTCTTCTTGTGCATAACTGGTATAGAACTTCAGTGAAAACCTAACTTGTAACAGGAAGAAAAAAAACACTCTAATTAGTAAATAACACAATAAAACTGAGGCAAGACTGTTAAGGTGTGACTTACATGCTCATACAGGGCCTGATTCTTCTGAGCATTACTTAGGTGCAATTTGCTTTTTGACATTGTTAAAGCTACTCTGTTAGCAGCATTGGGGCCTAATGTTGCAAACATACACTTTTCCCATTGAAATGTTCTACCTGCTGCATTTTTTTTTTATTAATTAAAATATATATTTCTATAACGCTTTGCAAGCACAGAAAAATGCAAACCAGTCTGCAAGGCAATTAAAAACAGGAAAGTAAACACAGAACGCAGGTGAACAGTTTGAGGAAAACTTAAAATGGAAGGAGGGTGAAATGATTATATAAGGAGATAATTTCATCACCAATGTGCCAGAATTGCATGTAATATCTTTTTTCTTCCTTCTTGATTCTTCAAGATTGTCAGTGAATTGTCCTTTCTGGAGCTGATAAAATCAAGGGTATCTTCACGTTAATTTATAGCTAAAATTTACAATCTGTTTGAGGGTTTTTTCCTGCCTGTAACTGAAATGGTAAATTCCTATCTCACTTTTGAGATCTGACACTTTCATAAAGCAATAAAGTAGAAACAAAACATTTTTTAGATTCTCTTAAACATTTTTCACAGAATTGTTTAATCTTGAACTAAGGTCATCTTTGCTTCCAATGTCAGCAAGGAAATTAAAAAGAAGGTCAACCATCAGCCACCAAATATTGCAATTTACTAGTACCAATAAACACAAAAGAAGCCCTTTTCTGCCATCACCTTCTTTTTCTCATCTTCATGGTGTGACATTTGGTTGCTGCTAACAGCTGCCATTTCCCAAGATTAGGTGACCCCTCTTGGTTTAACATCAATTTCTTTAATTTGCTGACTACCTTGGGACGTTGTTAGCTCCAATTATAAAAGCTGATTTGCATGAAAATCACCCTTCATGAACATATTAATTGATTGCAATTAATTACCTACATCAACACATTAACAGTCATCTGGCATAATGAAATAATAGGTGTAATTAAAAGTAGATGAGATTTAAAATAATTTAGGGATTTTGATTATCAAATAAACAAAAAGTGTAGTAGATAAAAAGAACTCCTTCCAATTAAAATGCACTAAACACGCCAAAGCTTCTACTTTCAAGAAGGCCTGACCTCTGAACTTTGAAACACACGTCCAGAAGAACTTATGCTATGTTCATAGCACGAAAAACGAAGATTGAACATTAAGCTGAAGGCATTTCATTTTCATGGAGATCAGGGATGTTGCCATCATTATACTGTATAACTAAGGGCTACACATCTTTGTAGCGTGGATAGTAAAACATGAGGGTTCACCAAAAGTCTTAAATAAACATTCATTTTTCTGTTTAGATATATTACTGACACTATAGTACTCACTGAAATTTTAAAGTCCCTCTTACTTTGACAACTCACCAAAAAATACTGATTTTTGACGACAGGTACTGAAAGGCTGAATTCCACAGTTTCCCCTGCTATTTCAAAAGCCAGCTTATATCAAACTTCACATCAGAATTTTTTCTTGATTACTAAGTTATTACAGTAGTGGTACTTGCATATAAAACAGCTGAAGCCAGTTTAAGTAAGTAAATGTTTCAAGGGCTTTACTGCACGTAAAAACAAAAAAACACCTCTTATTATTTTCAGCTGCCATAGGACAGAGATTGCCATTACCAATAAGGTGTACCAAGAGTGAGTAAAAGTTAACAATTTGATAAAGAATCAGCATGGTAGGTAAATGCAGATGATAAAATCTTTATGAGTTGTTTTTTTTATATTCTGGTAAAAACAGAAGAAAAGATGTTTGAAAAGTATTTTAAGACATCTCATATTATCCAGACTGTTCTCAAACAATTATTTTATTCAAAATATTTTTGTCTTTTTCTTTATAATATTGAACTTCAGCAGTAATTATAATTCACTGTATTTTACTTATCTTACATCTTTGGTTACTACATTGCATACGTATTTCTAGAGCATTTTAATACAAATAGCGGAAACAACCATCCACAGAATTCAAACAGTGAAGGTAAGAAACTTGTCACAGGCCCAGGAATGAGGAAGTACTGAAACAGGGGAATAAAAATGTATGTTTTTTCTCTAGAGCACCACTTCTACAATTATTTTCACTGATGACGATGTATTCATAATTCTCCCCCACAAAATAAACTGCTTTCATGAGCAAGAAAATTCAAATTGAACTACTGGCTTACTTATTTTCTACTATTGGTTTGGGTTTTTTTTCAATTTACATGTAGAAAAAAAATCCTCTTAAGTCATCTAAACCGTAAGTATTTCAGAGGTAAATCCGGAAATAGAAATGTAACACTACTTCTAATGGCAATACTTCTATTGCACTTCGGCTGTGCAGCTAAGATTTTGTTTAAGATTTTGTTCCTCATCTTACATACAAAGAATAGAGTCTAAATGAAATACGGCTGCCCTTTCTTTGTCATGAGTGAGAAAAAAACTCATGTTGCTAACCTAGAAATGAAGGCACTCATTCAAACAAAGCACTCATTTTAACTAAATTACTGGTTTCGATTTGTGCTTTGTGGACTACTACATCTTGTCATTAGTGAGCTGAACTGAACAACTTCCATAACCAACTTGATTCAATTAAAATTAAGTCCTATTAATGAAAAAAAATCCTTCCTATAGCTACTACATTGACTATCCATCGTTACTTCATAAGGGAGCTGGAAGGAGTTTTAGACAAATTAGATGCAATAACTTACCAGACACATGCTGGCTTTATTAACGTCAGTGAAAGCATTCAAAACATTGTTCTTGGACAGGCTGTAATTCAATGAGGTGACTTCTAAACGTTCACTTAGAAGCCACAGCATGTTATTAATTTCGGAAAAACTACGGCAATCCAATATTAGCAAACAATTGAAAAAAAAGAATCAAATCAATGTCCATGCATTTTTTTCTGCTTTGGAAGCAAATACTAAAACGCATTTGAATGTACTATTGTGGTAGAGAAAATATTTTAGATCATTATAATGTTCCAGAGAGTATTTTCCTCCATGCTTATATCTAATTAGAACTTAACTGACAGGCTGTGAAAGTACACACCACCCTAAAGATCTTCCTTTAAGCCTACTGCTGCTTTCAACTGATTTTATCAGGGTTAAGACAGGACACCAGACAAAGATTCCTGAACAGAGCAAGATGTACAGTTAGATGCTACCTAAACAGTTTGCGTATTTGTATTTATGAGATTAAATGGAAGATACTATCCAATAAGATTCCATCTTCGCATGCCTGCTAGGACATATGTGACACTCTGCCAAACAACGGATGGACTCAAGTGTAAGTTTCCGGATGAATGTCTAATCCCAATATAAAAATAATTAAAGGCTCACTTAAGATTTCTTCAAATGATCTTTTACTACAATACATCACAGTGTCCTTAAACTTTAAACCAAAAATATCAACAAAACTTTCAAAATTTTCAGGGATAGCTGGAATTTTTATTCAAAACTATAACCACTGGCTTTTAAGATTCAACTAGGAAAGACTGTCCGTAGTTAAAATTTTTAATTCCTTCGCTACTTTGTTATGTTAAATTACATTTTAAAGACTACTGCTTTTTGTTTGTGAATACTTCCCACAACTACAGAACCCCTTTAATGAACAGAAATTATCTGTCTTCTATTCTATAGCTGTTATTTGATGAAGATCTTTCTCATTACAAAATTGTTTAAAATAAAAAAAAATAACATTTTGATTCAAAATATTAAAAAGTGTAATAACACCTGCTTTAGATAAATCTGTCCGTTGAATTTACTGCATACAGGAAGTAATACACTTTAGGAAAAAAGTCAGTTGTCTGATCTTAATCTGTTTAAGCAATTTCACATTCAAATCTTGGCATCTGTTTCTTCAGTTCAGTCTCTACTGGTTCTCAATCTGCAAAAGCTGGGTATATAGCCATATATAGCAGGTATATAGCCATATATTCTCAAATCTAAACAATTATAAAGTGCTGAACTAGAATAGGCCAATCATCTGTTTCCAGTAACAGCCAGAGCCAAAACATTCTGGAATGGCACAAGAAATTTTCAGTAGGGATTTGAGAAATAATTTGTCTTACACACAGTTTTTACACTAATGTTGGCAAAATCCCAAAATACAAGATGCTCTTTTCTCCTTTTTTTTTTTCCTGTCATTAAGTATAATTACCATTGATATTGCTGTTACCCATATAAATATCCAAATCATTTTGGAATTGTACTAATATCCTTACTTCACCAGCTTATTTTGACAGTGGATTCCATATCTTAATCCTATTCTGTGTAACAAGGTTTTTCCTTTTATCAGTTTTTAATTATCAACTGTACCATCCTATCAAATGATGTCTTACTTTTGTGCCACGAGCCAGGAAAAACAGCTCTTTATCAACTTTCTTCATATCACTAATTATTTTATAAACTCCCCTAAGCTAATTTCTTCTAAGCTTTTCAGTGCATCTTCATGTGAGAATTTTTCTTTCATGCTGCTCCTCTCGGAATCCCTCCCTGTCTGCAAATGGTCTTCTGAGACAGGTTAACTGATAATGTATAAAGTATTTCAGATAATAATGCACAACCGACTAACTTTAAGGTTTGATACGTTTTCCATTTCATACATGCCTGAATTTCCTGCTACCCTGTATTTTAAGTTTTTTAAACTATAGGTTTATTTAATCTGAGAATTCCACTGAGCTATAGCTACAGTGATGATAACCTACTTTTGAGTCATATGACACTTTAAAAGCTTAACCGTATTTCACGTTTTCCCCCCCCAAGCAGTTCTTTGTATCAAAGTTAAGCATTTTACATGCCATCATATTACCCGTTTACCTAGCAGAGTGGTCCAAAACTTGTAACTTTTCAGCACAGTGGTAAAGGAAATAAAAATAGAAAACTGAAACTCCATCTTAAGCAAAGTATGACATTTCTGGCATGTTATCTGCTCTGTATTACTGACTATGAAGAAATACATAAGGGATTGCCTATTTTACACGTTTAGACTTCTCTCAAGTCCCACTCCTAAATAGTTTAATATCTCTGTATCATCTGAAAATTTTGCTCCCCACATTCTCTTTTCAGAACATTCATAACTATACTAAACAATGCAGAACCGAGTACAAAACTTCTGAGGCCTCCTGCTGTTAGCCTTCAGCTATAATGAAAATTTACAGTTTGATCCTACTGTTTGCTTTCAGTATCTTACTTTTTATCCAGCTCAATAGTTTGTCTCTTTTCAAATGATTGCCCAGCTTCTTTAGTAAATCTCTTATACGCAACCCTATCAAAGTCTAAATTATGTATTTTATTATTTTCCTGTTTACTGAGACATTCGAATAATTCTGAGACATCAGTAAGATAGGATTTTTCTTTTCAGAGCATAAGCTGAGTATACTACGTTTGGCCACGTTGTTATAAAAATTTTGGTATTAAAAACAAAAACATTCAAATACACTCTTAAAATCTTAAGAATTAAACAGCCATATTTGATTGTGCACTCAGAAGACAAATCCTCAAAGATATTTTATTATAAATCCCGTGCTTGAATTAGAATTGTTCAGGCTGCACACAGATCTCAAACTACAGAACAGACGGGTCTACGTGAGCCTGATATTACGGTTGCACAAGGGTTGTGATGTCTTATTTTAAGTCTCTGGAACTCTTAACATGTACTTTTGTAGAAAAACGTCTGTTATTTGTAATCTTTGTTATACGTACATATCACATTCACAGTATTTTAACAAAACAGAATACCTGTTTCTTGCATTGTTGAGGCACGGCTCCTGCATTTTATTTCTGGCTTGTGAATTTTAGTCAAGTTCAACAACTGTGTAACTTGAGGCACATCTGTATTTAATTGGCAGTTTCGAGGAATAACAGCTGAGGGCTTATCAGGTGCAAATGGTACTACACATACATCTAGAATCAAAAACATAGGTCTTACTTTTTTGAAAGATGACACATACCTGAATTAAATTAGATCTGTTACTTGTTGTTATATATACTATAGCTCATAGGATTATAAACAATTAATAGATCATAGTGATTTGAAAAATTTGCTGCGATTGTTCATTTTAAAACAATAAAGATGTCAATTTTAGACTGATACTGTTGAGTTTTTTAGGCTGAAAACTTCATATATATTTAAAATTAAAAAAAGGAAAGAATGGCTGTAATAGCCACCGTAAATCAACATTGATCTGGTAAGTAAGCAAGCAAAGTTAAAATTAATTTTGTTAATTTTTATTAAAACAGCTTTAATTCTAATACTGATATCTTGATTTTCAAACACACTGACAATCTGAAAACGATACTGCCATCAGAGAGACTGAAGTAGCAAATACAGAAATCCCATCTATGCAAAAAATGAATTTGCCAAGCTTTATTCCAGACTTTTGGATATCATTATACTTCTTTTGTAAACTGAAAAGCTGTCAGCCTCTCTCTTCCTGTGACAGCATGCACCAGTAAAATACGATCCAATTATCTCTGCTTTCCCTTTGATAATCAATATAGAAGACAAGGTTTCTAGCATTAGAACCACTCGGGAAGTTCTGATGTGAATTCTTTCCAATTTCTATAACGCTAGAGTAAGCTGACGAACGCTAGCCTCTCCTCCAGGGATAAGAAAAAAAAATAACCTCAAAACCAAACAGAATAATGGATAAAGTATTAAGACCCTAATAGCAAAATTCAAGGGCCCCGTATCGTGTTTCAATAGTGGACATATTTTTATTAACTAGTTTATTAAGGTAAATATTAAACACCATTTTTTTCACTATGCTTGTATAACATTTAACACAGTGAGACAACGCTTAGTGATAAAACAAATACGTATATAACCTTTGGACTACTACGGAAAACAGAAGCTATATATACGTCAGTCTTTTATGTCTCAATACTACGGGGCAGAGAAGACGAATTCTTCTTTCCTATTCCATCTCAATGATCTCACATACAAATTTCCCAGGGTATGTGGTTTCTCCTTTCCACTTGCTATCACTTGTAAGAATAAAAAGATGGTGTATATGAGCTACAGCCACGATATGCCTTGAAACCACAGTTCTCACAACTGAGGAGATATGAGCAAAGAACTCGACCCCAATTATAAGTTATAATGTCATTGCATTCAGTGGAGCTAAACTGATCTGGTTCCAGTCATCTCAGAGGATATCAGTTTTAACAAGCTGTGATTGTTAATTGAAAATTAATTAATAAAAATAAAAAATATATTGTTTATCTGCAATTGAGAATGCACTATAGGGCTATTTTAATGCCTCCAAACCGTGAGCTGTAACCTGACTGTTAAGACTTGCCTAGATAAGGAAGTTCATAAGCATACAGAAACCCTAATGCCTGCCAGCTCTGTAATAATCATAGAATTGATAATTCAGTAATTATAAGTGCAATGCTTTACCATGCATACAATTTATTAGAACTGGTCTACTCATTATGTTAACTACATTTCACTCTGAATTTTGGAACTCATTTAGACCACTTATGTACATTTCAAAACTATGTAGAACGAATGAGAGAAAACAATGCACCAATGAAATTAAATTAAAAGTCAGTGAGACCTTTAACTGTAGGTTTTGCTGATAATTTACTGGACTCTCTCTCTAGAGATTTTGAATGATTTTTTGATTTTCTTTCAAGTTTATCAACAAAAAAAGGGGGAGTAACCACACTGGTCACATACTTTTCCTTATTGGCTTAGGTTTTTCAAATCAAAGATTCATTTTATTACCATTTAAAAACTTTCTGTATCCAAAATACAGTCACTGACTACTTGATTATCTTGTATGTATCTACATTTTGTGCAAATAACAAACACAAATATTCATCCTGAAATACTTTTGAGTTTCTGTGTAAGCAATCCAGTATTTTCATAGCCAATACTGAAAGCTACTGCTATCTCTCCTTCAAAACTGGAACCCTTTTTTCTGGAGCATCCTTCAAAAGTCACAAAATGAAAATTTGAATGAAATTAAAGCTGAGCTAAACCTAGGCTCCATCTTAAATAAGAAAATGTGCTGTTTCGATTCCTTCTCTGTTACCACAAACACTAGCAAGGAACGAAGCTCTCTGCCTAGGAAAATGACAATTCAGGAGATCGGTGCCCTTTGAGCAATATCCCCGCTCTAATACAAATTTAAATCTCTCATTTTTCAGTTCACCACCAATATCACTTTCCCAATGAACAAGAATATATTGAGGATAAATGGACTAAGGATCACGGAGAGGTATTTATGACAGTTTCATAGGTCTGCTTTATCTAATACTATTTTGCTATAGTTTTGTCCTGGACTATTTAAAGAAAAAATCCTTCATCAGCTGCTAAGCTCAAAGACAGAGGAAACCAGGGAAACAGTTAAAGGCTGCTAAGTTGAATATTTTTCCTTCTTTTCAGACACCCTGTTTTTGGCCAACACCAGCCTTCTCTCACCATAAACTTCTTTAAAACAAGCTATTTGATAAATTTTGCCAGAATTCCTTCAATAAAATACTTTTAATGAGGTCAATGCTCAAAAGAGATGTGTACACATATACTTAACTGATCACCTAAGTCCAAGACTAGTAGATTTAACATTTAACATAAAATTAAAGTCACTTTAATTTTCATTAAATCATTTTTATCTTTCAAATTGCAAAACCAGTGACTAAGAAGCTTTTGATTTTATATGAACAGTTATGACTAAGACTACACAGTAATTATAACACACCATCTTCCTCAGCTGTATCTTGAGGCTTGGATTTTAAAGTGAAGATCTTTCTTAGTTTACAGTTAGCTGAAATAATAATTCCATCCAAAGACTGGAAGACAGCTCCTCTGAATATTTCACTGGTGAATGCTACCAAGTCAATACACATATTGCACCACTAGAAAAGAGAAACAATACTCTTTAATAAAACCCAACCACTAATCATTGCAGAAAAGTACATAATTCTCTACAGAAGAAGCCTGTGTGGAGTATTAGACTCTCACAGGCTGTGATTCATAATGCATGACATTTTTGCTATTAAAAAAGTTATTGCTGTATTTGCACTTACAACAATTATTTATACAAACAAATCAATAGTTGTACATATGATCTAGCGACTGCCAGCCCAAGTGAGCTTTGTTACGTAGCACATCTACTAGATATTCTGCAGCTATTTCTAAGCAAGCAACGTGTGATAAAATACATTCACTGAAGGTTTTCTGAGAAAAGAGGTTTTATTATTATTATTTCATATTTATTTCATTAAAATATTCAACAATACAATAATATAATTTAAATAACATTAAATATAACTTAATTATTGAAGTTACCGCAGCTTAAGTGCCCCAAAGACTATATTGAGAGATTTTTTGCTAACTTCTTTTTTGCATTTCATGAAAAATGACCCCTCCAGAGTGTGTGCCCCTTCCACATTCCAAACTATAATGCAAATTTCTAGTATATACAAGTTCGCAGTATAACATAACAACTTAAAACTACTTCTTATTTATAATAAGGAAAAGGCAGTGTAGATTGGAAAGGTTGATATATGTTTTAATTCTCTTTAGATAATTGTTCCATCTGTGTTAGGAAACACTACTAGAAGACTATAACATCAATGTACTGTACTTTCCTGCACTACTCCAATAGCTCTAACTCCTCTCATTTTCAAATTTTTTCTACTCAACACTTCCATATTGCTGTTTTATTATAACACAGACATGAGCAATTACAGGTATCTATCTTGCATGTGGACTATAAAACAATTCAGTATCCTCCTAGGAAAAAGGAAGTTTCATATAAAACAAGTGGTTCTGCAACTAGAACTATAAAAACATTTATTGTGGTTTTACATCTTTCAGATAGATTCTCTGATGTGCTTCAGATAGATTCTCTGATGTTTAAAAGCACGTATGCTCACAGTTGGGGTGTTCCTAACCATTCTTCTCCTCGTAGATTCTTATATTTACTAAGGAATGAGCTCATGTTAACACATCTTCTTTAATAGGGAAATAAACAGACACTGACTTGGGGAAACGGTAATCCTTTCCATGAAAGCTACAGAACCAAAACACATTTGATATGACTACCCATGTGCAAAATTTAGTTTTAATTGACCAACGGGCTAAAGTTTTATTAAGGGAGAAGAACAGTCAGACTTAATGATTGTATATGTCTCATTTCCTTATGAAGTCAAAGTAAAGGTACTGTTTTCTAAATGCTAAGCGGTAAATATTTTTTAAGAAAATATTTAGATGCATACAAGACCCGTGTATCCATCACTATTTAGCTTCTAAGTCTGAAATTTTGGTAGGTAAGGAATACTCATTATGAAGACACTGTGCAATGGGTTGGAAAATACAGTTTTTAATTACTACTGATATTTCTAAGTCTACTGCTGAGGCTGAAAGATAGCATAATTTGCAAGAACACAATACACTGGAAGCTAGCATACGAAAATGTAAGCTCTGTTCCACTGATGAAACACACAGCAAATTACTTCCTTATTCACAACTAATCTTACTGATAATAACGATCAGCATATGTATAAGTTAAACTATCATAGGCATGTAAAAGACCTATTTAATCACTAAAAGTAACATATTCCCTCCTTTAAGTAAAAGCGACAATAAAAAGCGAGATAACTATTTAAAAGAAAACAGATGGCTATGTATTCCAACACACTAAAAAATGTAGACGTATTCTTTAAAGAATAGGTCAGAGGTCACTGTTATTAAAATATTTTGTCATTAAAACCGATCATAGCATTTAGATAGAGCTCTGATGAATGATTTATTACCCAAATTAAAATACACAGCTGAAGTTCATATTCTGATTGAATTTAATTTAGTGTACAGTAACGCATACTTAAAACCTGAAACATTTGTGCTAGCCTTACACCAAGACCAGTTAACTGAAATTATATTGAAAAAAAAATAATTTTATTTCAGTGGATCTTGAATTAATGGTAACTTCAGGTGTATGGTCTGATGCGTTTTAATTAAAAAAGAAAAAGTTTTTCCTAGAAAGTAGAAAACTCCCGAAATCTGAAATTATCACAACTGCTTTCACCTAAACTATCTTAAAATAAGTCCTTATATAACTTTAGAGGTTTATGTAAAATATTTCTCTTTCACTTCTAACTTAAAACCACAGCAGCTTAGCATACTCTAAGTATTGTCTATTTCTCTCAGTGCACATTTATATTTTAGAATATTTGAAATCTAAACACTCTCATTTTCAAACGATACTCTAAAGCAGTATTTAAGACTCTTGAGTCTTTACATGGTATATGGTAACTGTCAGGTTTTCTGCTAGGTATTACCATACGATGGGGCTGAGGACTTGGGTTTTGAGGGAAGAAGGTGAAGTCTGTTGTTTTATTTTAATCACTTAGAACTATACATCATTTTATATATTCTAGAATCTGCAAAAACATGAAGTACATGCAAATAACCATTAGTCTACCTGCAGCTCCAGTGAACGCAACAAAAGTTCACTATAGGAGGGGGTACACATGAATAGGAGAACCATGACAAAGAAGAATCAGGGAGACTGAGAAATTGTAGGCAGGCTCAATAGACAGCAAAAGTGAGAAATAAACACGTCACAAATAGCACTAATCTTGGAAAGGGGAACGAACTCTCAATGTTAAAAGAAGGGTGGGAGAACAGAAGTGGTAAGCGGTTCTGACACCATCCAGTAGAGGGGATACATACATATTTCTTGCATCTACAGGAATGGAATTCTAAAACATACACACTAATTTGAACAGCTCTGTAAATTTATATAAAATCCTTCTGATAAAAAAGTATGCTCAACCACAGGTTAAGGAATATTCCCAAGGTACCTACTATTTTGCGCTTGATCATAAAAAGAGGAATTTTTGCATGCAGAGGGGTTACAGACAACTCCTTGTGGACTGTTGATAAATACAACCTTCTTTTAATATTTCCTAAATCAGTTATCCTGTAAAAGAAAAAGCAAAAAAGAAGAAATGGATCTTTGTCCATTCACTAATCCAGCATCTTTAGGCAATCACAAAAAAAGTATTACTCATATTCAGAACCTTTATGGCTGTGATAGCAAATATAGAATTTAGAAATTACATCTTTTACGAGATGAGTAATGAGATTTCTTTCTCAAATTCAAACTTGGTGGCTATATTCCTGCATATATAAAATCACTTCACATGCTAATTTTATTTCAACAGTCTACACCCTTCACTAGATTTCCATAGCCCTTCAGACTATAAAAGAATGCAATTTGTATGAACTGAGAACCCCGTAGCCTTTAATAATCGTGCTTGTTTTCCATCCCTTAAGCTTGCATTACCTTGGGACGCACTGTCACCTGCTAACTACAAAAACATTATTTGCTTTCTTTTCCTAAAAATGCATCTGCCATTTTATATAGAGTCTTTGTTGCCTTAAAAACAGACACAAAACACTGTCTGTTTCACTTCCTGAGCACATATCTTCAAACGTGAACTATAATACACAAGTTTATTGCTCACCACTCAGGTCATCTCTCAGTGACACCAAGGACACAGAATTTGAACATCTCTAATAGATTTAGACCACGATCACAAACATTAGTTTTGCTTTAAACTGAAAAAAAGGCTCATTTTTATGTTCTGCTCCTTTCAAGTCTTGAGGGCAGCCCAGTCTTGACATTCCCCACCACTCCCACCTTGTTATACTGTAGCACAGACATTACTTTAAAGGCTGCAATTGAAACCATGATTAATTTACCTATTATTTTTGAACAAGCCTATTTCTAAGAGATGGGTATTTCTCAGTATTTAGCAGCCCCTCTAAGAAGATGATAGATAATTACTATAAACAACTTTCTGTCACTATTTAGTTTTTTAAAAAATAATTATTTATAGTTACAAGATTTAAATGCTGGGTTTTGCTTTAGAATTGTGAGTCTGTCCTGTAAACGTTTTTTTTTAAAATGAAAATGCTTTCTTATTAATAAAGACTACCTGCGGCAACTGAGCTAGTGTAATGCCATCAGCCCAAACTTGCTAATAAATATCCTGAAATGTTCTTAGAAATCCCTAGGTCAACCTAGCAGGGCATTAACTCTGGAGCACGTTCCATGCTTCATCTATTTTGGGCAATTCAAGATTTCACCCAAGGACAGGATTCAGTACAAAACATATGGCAGATATGTGACCTTCAGAGGATTCTACTAGCTCCAGTGACAAAAACACAGGAGTGTTTTCCTGTTCCCCAGTAGTTAAGAGCTTCATGCAAAGCAGAGGGAAAGTTCATCAGCCTTCCAGAACCTACTGTCTCTCTGCTCTCCCTTCCAGATCAGCCAATCTTTCAAATATTCATTCTCACAACATGGGTGAGCAAAGCAAAACAAAAGGGAAGAGTCTACCAGTGAGTTTTTTTGAGAGGCTTGCAGTTCCTCACATAAATCCCATGCACTTCAAAGATAGAAATTTCATTTCCATGCCAAGGGAGAACGTTACATCCTTACCATCGCTACTGTTTGAAGTAGATTTCAGCATTGGCTGCACATATGCTTATGTGGATAATACCATAACGCTCTTGCAGAGTGCTTCTATAACAGGACCACAGACTGTCTTACAATGGTATTATTCTGGGCTTGATTTTACTTTTGAAGACATTTTGGCAAAAATGTGAAGTTATTCACCTAAGATCATCAGCAAGCTTGCTGCGTAACTAAACCTGAGCCCCAGACCAATGCTCAGTTTCATACATCACTTTGCTTCTCAGATACCCTTTGATGAAAAACAGATGGCTGTACTTTTCTGAAACTCCCTACTCTGTCTGTCCTAAACCTTGATGTTCAGAGACACTAAGCATTTGGTGCACCAAAGAGCTTCAATGAAGTGGAGCGATGGGTGCTTCAAACTCTCCTAGACTTCCCTGGTTATGTGTACAGCCAAGCAACTATGCTGTGGAAGCAGGTAGCTGCAACAACCTGAGTGATGAAACACAAGTAACTACTCCTGCCTTTAAACGATGCCACGACAAAGCAGTAGGAGCTTAAACTTAAGGCATGCATATCTCCAAACAACTAGCATTAAAAACTTAATTTTACTTCATAATATTAGTTCATGAAATATGTTTAAACCTCATAATTTATTTTTATTTGAGTAGTTTTACCTTTCTCCCTTCTGGAAATTTAGGTATCTTAGCAATACAAAGGCCGTTAGTTCTGAAGTGCAATAGAAAGCACAGTCATTTAGATAAAAATATACACACTTATATCAGACTCTGAAATGTAAGTCTAAAATACGATTTTTTTGTGATGGCATGTATGCTATATAGAAGAAGCAAACCTTAGACAGATGGTTATAATCACACCTAAAGGAGTTTAAAATACACTTCGGGAAATACATTTAAAACTGTATTTATATTCTACAGAAGAAATTCGGTGAAACACTCAAACAAGAAGGGGCAAACCTGGAGAAAGATGATGGTCTTAAAATTCTGTAAAATAATTTATTCTCTGTGAAAAGAAAGAGAACTGTTCAGCAATTGGTGTAATTTCCAGACTTTTCAATTACACTGCTTCTTGAAAAATAAAACCAAATAAAGGTCTGACAAAGCTCTTATGAAGTAACTCAGAAGACAAGAGATGGAACTTTAGAACTCTCACTTGTAAAATGACTGCGTACCTGTGAAACTCAACCTTTTTTTTATGTTATCAAAAAGCATGACCTATGTTAAACCTAAAAAGACAAGAAACATCTGTACTATCTTCCTTGATTTTCAAATACGTATTAAAAAAATCTATATAAGAGTTAATGTATTTTTATTATGTCTGTGCTTCAGTATTCATATCTAAGGGTCAGACATGTGATAGAAAAGTAATGAGACCATGTTGAGAAAAATGAGGTAGTCAACAGGAAAATCAACCTCATTTATAATAATACTCCTGTGATCAGCAGGTGCATAACTCTCCCAGCTATGGTCATTAACTGCATTCATTCCACGCTTAACATCTACATTTGCAAACCATTTGAAAGTAAAATTACTTTTCAATTCAATTTTCAGCTTTATTTTATATCTTCAACTTTGATTGACTATTCTCCTCACAATGGTGACGACAGTGAGATTGTGAGTAAACGGTAGCTACTACCCAAGAGTATATAGATAAACCCATCTCCTCAGATTACCTATTCACTTTGCTTCTGTATGTATAATAACTCATAACCATTTGTTAATGTTCAATTCAAGGCTTAAAATGAACTTAGAAAAAATGATTTGGACTGTTGAAGGGATGCTTCATTTATCAGGTTCACTTATTCTTAAAATGAAAGTGTTTTTCTCTTTATAAATGACTCAACCTGGAAGTTTACCAAACATGAAGGCAGGTATTTCACTAATGTTGCTGTGCAAAGAACAACTCCCATATAATGTATTATTCACGTAAATCTCTACATTTTCTGCTCTCAATCCAGGTAGAATGCTCTGGTAAAGCTTAACCATTAGTATATTAGCATATAAGTACTTCGCAGTCATAGGACCTTTTTCTCCATAAAAGCGATGCGGTTCATAAACGTCACATAGTATTACAGTCTATTTTACAGGTAGGAAAATAAAGGAATAGTAATGGTTACACGATTTGCCATGGTCACAGATTCTTAAATTTCCTCATTCAGTAACAGTCTGTATTTCATTCACATTTTATTTTTCGCACTGCTTGTAAATTAGTGTCCTAAGAGGTACTATGTTATTAAACTTAACGCAGGACCATATGAAATCCAGACCACCGTGTTCTGACCTCATAGAAACAGACTTAGTTATGCTGCTAATCTAATCTCTACAAAATAATTAAGAGGGTTGATGGGTCACAAAGATATAGATCACAAGCTGTGAAGAACCAGCTTTATTTTCATGTATTGGAATTTTCTTTGTTAATCTCGGTCTTTTTCTGGAAAGAATTAAAACCAAAAATCCCCAAAGTCCCCATAAACTGTAGCCATAAAAAGGTAATAATACAGGTGGTAGGTACATAAAGAGAATCAGGAAACCTGCTCATCAGAATAGAAAAACTTTTGAAACAGGAGCAGTGATGAAGAACTGGCAGTTCCTGAGCTCAACCTACCAGATATCGACATGTTTGCAATCAATTCTCCAACTGAGAGAATGACCTGATATTTTGACTGATCAGGAATAATTTGTTGCGAGAGTTTCATTACTCTTAGAGCTTCACACATTTTAAAAATCATTCTGGAAATGATCACTAATATCTATATCATACGTTCTGGGAACATCCATCAATATTTTAACAACTTTGGTTTTCAAATCAGCACATCTATGTGGCTCTTTCCATCAAGTATGGTGAGCTGTTCCTCTGAAGCTTGACTAACTCTGTCAAACCATTTAGGAAATTGTAATTCTGGAAAATTGTTTTTAAATCTGTTCAGTATAGACAAAATACTTTAATGAGTATTAATGTGTGGAAAGTTTAGTGCACACATCTTTTCCAGAATCAAAACAAATTATGCTTGTAATGCAGTTATTTATGCCTCTAACTGATTTTGTTGGCTCTTTTCTTTAGTTTATTGGCTGCTCTCCTTTCTACTTTATTTTCCTTTCCATGAATATATCTATTCAGAAGGGACATTTTGTCCTTTCAAGTTTAGAAAGACAGAGAAAGGTCACATTCACTCCTACTATATATAATAGTTCTCTTAACTACAGACATATTTTTCCCATTTAAACTGTTTGTTCTAATTACTGAGTTCCTTGAATTGCTAATAAGTCTGCCCCTTAAAAAGACAAAACTAACAACGGATCTTGAATTTTCCCGCATTTGGCTTCCTAACCAACGAATCCTACCAAACAAACAAAAAGGCTTCAGCCATTCCCCCATATTACTTAAACCGATCCACTAACCCAAAGGTATGCAATTAACACTTTTCTTTTCCTATAAGTCTTAGAAGACAGTAATTTATTTGCTTATATCATCAGGACGTCATCTGACACCATAAGGTCAACTCTGTTCATTTAATACGATATCATGTGATAGCTTAAAATGGACTCATCACCTAACAAGTTAAAACTTAGCATAGCAAAACATCTCTCTCATCAGTTCCAATAGATCTGAAATATATTTAATCAAAGATTAAGTGACACAGGTTAAAATAATTATCTTCACGGTGTTTTCCAAACTTGGGAAGAAACATTGCAACACAAAGAGATAATATTCTTTATCTTAGATTGAGGTGAACTTTTTTAACTAGTGGAAGTAACTAGCGGAAAAGGAGGGACTAGACACACTATTTGCATCAACCCTGTAAACTAAAAATCGTGCTATACTAAACAGAGATCATTACAACTGCCCTGAGAAAATGCATTTATAGTAGCTGTTCATTTGCAGACACCACAACCGCAAAGCAAAGTGTGCAATATCAGCATCGCAGGATACAACAGCCTGAAGAAGAAAACACTCCTTTTTGTGACAACTGTTGAACTCACTGTACACATTTTATCTGAATTGAGCTTGGGAGGCAGAAGGGAATGCTCTGGTCTGAGGGGAAAGCAATATGCTATTTCTGAAACAAGTCTGAGAAATGTATTTTTGTGCATCATTCTATTTTTCTGGTTTTTAAATGAATGGTAATGCTGGATAACCTGTCCCTCAGTGGGTCCAAAGTAATTAGTGAGAACATGTATTTTTCCCCAACATATTTACTGTTCAATTACTAAGAGTCTGAAATGTCATTTTATTTGTTAAAAAGTAAAACTACTCCTATAGATATTTGTATAGTTTAGAGAAAGCATGCTTAAAAAAACACTAACTTTGTAACTAAAGTCTGTTTATAATTTATCTTAAGGATCAGTTATAACGTTGGTAAATGATGTTCACTTGTCTAGGATGAGGTTCTTAACGTTGATTTGCGAGGTGCCATTGGTTTGATAGTGACTGGAGGCACTGGCAGAGGCTGCACATGCTGGCTCTGTTCCAACTGATACATAGAAAGAGGCCCCCTCTCCTCCATTCTCCCTCCCCTTGCCAAACTGATCTCCACTTCTCCTATCATTCTTCATCATTTATTCATTTGTCTTCCTCTACTTTCACGCTTCAGTTCTGTCTTCCCACATTGACTTCTCCTGCCTTGGCTCCTGATCTACAGATACAAACTACTGCTGAATACTATTTGGAAGGAATTTTTTAAATCAGCAGTAGCATGCACACTGTGATTTGGAAGATACAGTTTAAGGCATTAATGGGGATGATTGAGATCTCATACTGCATATTTTAACAGGAATCACAGGTTTCAAGACACAACGCGGGTGAACATTAATAGGAAATTTATTTTGAAAATGTGCTTCTTGTATCAGTCAAGCACCTGACCTCTCAAGCAACAATTTACCTACTGTAAATTACCTGGATTTGAATCTGACCTCAAAGTATTTATTTTCTAGTATGAAGCTAAATATGTTACCAGTAATACCAGATAAAAATCTCTTATTAAGATATTGAAGTTACTGGTGGATCACCGTAATCTGTGAATAAGCATTTCTACTTATCAGATCTCAATTTACTTGCCACTAAACAAATATTCAGAAGAATGTAATAGTTTAGACAAAAATTATAATTATTACTTATCACCAGAAAAGCTGGGTAACTGTTTTCTAACTCCATCCTTCAATTTCCTGTACAATGTAACAAAATCATTCTCATCAAGGTCTATGCCATTAGATCCCCACTGCACTTTCACTTTAAGAAACAGATTGGTTTAGTGTTTCAATAAGTGATATTATTTCATCTTCATTTTTGCTCTGATCCCTTTTGAAAGTAATATTCGAATGAAAGCATCTCAGGGTCAGAAGAGCAAGTGAAATGGTTTCGTCTACCAATTTAAAACGAAACAAAATACCTAAACGTTAGCGGCAAGATTTAGGAAAGGATCATCAGCTGTACTGAGCTCATATTAAAAGCCTACCAGTAAAGATCTGATTGAAAAAGGACCATAGTTTGTATTCTAATTTGGATCAAATACATATATATTTTTTTAATCCACAAAAGGTTCATACATCACTAAGGGAAGAATAAAGATACTGAAAAGAGTTACCATTTTTCAAGTTAAAAACTTGGTTTTTACCGAATCTGCCTCTCTGTACCTTTGTATTATGGACTTTTAACTGGTACTTGCATTCAACTGCCTGTTAAATAGCTTCCTTTATTTCTCATCTGTAACAGCACCACATCTTACTCTTTGGTATCCAAGACTGCGGGATAGCTTGTAGGTATCTGGTCAGTCTCCCTCACTTCTTGAAATGTCTGCATGTCCTAGCATGTGTATGCTGTTTCTGCAGAAAAGCAAGCTGAAATTTAAGTAGTACTACCTCCTATCAGGAATAAGTCTCAAAACAGATGAAACTTTCAGATATTTCCCCTACATCTTGAGTAATTCTTGGGTAAACTGAAATCTTAGTGTTCTAAAAAGATAACTGCAGATAAAAAAAAACTGTATGGCTACAGCTGCTGCGTAAAGCTGGGAACCCTTGAGGCATCATGGACCTCACTATCTGTTCATATATATAATCACTACTGCTGTGTGTACAGCAGATCACAACAACACTAGCAATATTCTCTATAGGTAAGCAATCTTCACTGCTTACTTTTTGAACTGCAAGATATAATAGGTAGGCTCTGCCATTCCTTCATTTCCTTTCCTTAAAGGGATAATTATTAACATCTCTAGACCAAGACAGCTATGCAAAAGAACAGTCTACAGTTGGAGTGAGCAAATGAAAAATGAGATTTATTTGGACACAAACAACCACATTCACGCAAACCATAAGCATACTGGCTTCTAATCAACTACAGTGATACTCTGAAGGATTGATTCAAGTAGATTTTCATATCACATTGACAGAACGCTTAAACCCGCAATGAAATTTCAACTAGAGGATATTCTGATTAACCTTCCATATTTTTTACTGCCTCTTGCTGAAATATTAACAGGGCAGAAAGCCCATGGTTTGCATTGCCATTCAAGTTTGAAAAGACCGGCCTCATAATTTTTCATAATTATGCTTCTCCGAATGTTATTTCTTCTCTACCTACATACATTATTGACAAATTAAAACTTCTCTTGTTCTTCCTTGAGCAGTTTACCACTATTGTAGGGTATTCAGAATCTAACAATTTATGTATCAGTCAGAGTTAGTTATGTCAGTATTCCACCAGTCTGATTTATTCTTGGCAGGATATGCTGGGTTTTATTTTTTTATTATAAACTTTCTTACAGCATACTATAAAAGAGATTATCATCAAAATAACTGAAGATGACAACACTCAACTTTTTAGCCATCTGAATCCCCAGGTGTGAGCAATTTCCTCAGTGTTTCTAAGTGATGATGATTTAGCCCCAGCATCCTCATTTCTTTCTTTCTCACCTTGGTAAATGTGTCTGTCCACTGACAAAGTAATTTTGAAGCTACAGTTTTTAAACATAATTTTTTTCATATAAAATTATGAGAAACTCTTCTGATTTCTTCCCTACAGTGACTGTGGGAGAAACAAGAAGTTATCCACTTGAGAATATTCTTGCTCTACAGCTGTAAGGTCTTGGGGTGGCGGGGGGGAGGGGGAGGGAGGGAGATAACAAAAGAATCTTCTGCAAAAATATTCCATTAAAACAAACTATCAGAAGAGGAGAGAATTTCAGCATCTGAGAAAGTCAGTTCTGGATGGATCACATATTGCATTGCTCATATAAAACAGAATTTTGTACACTTCTGTATCTGTTCAACCCACACTAAAAGTCACAAATGCCCTATTTGATACCTTTCAGAAACATGACAGTGATTCACATTGTACACAGAGAGGGTATACATTCAAATACTGAAAGCGACTGCCAGAGAAGGAAGATACAGTACTATCTCTCAAAAGGTACTGACAAATATGGACTCAAAAAGGGCAGAGGAAAAAAAAATCATGAAAATTCAGATGGTCTAAAGAGATATTGGAGAAGGATGAACTGGGAATTAAACTACTGTTAAGGGACAACTCAGTTTTATCAGAGAACAAAAATCTTTACTAACACTTAGAGATCTTGAGAAGAGTGGAGGAAAAAAGAACAAGAACTATTTACTTCTGGAGAAATACAGGAGGCCAGGGAAAATAGATTTCTTTAATAAGCAGAATATAAATCTGGATAGCTTTGTGCAAGCTCTAGAAGATAAGTTGAGACTCTTCCAAGGAGACGTTCTCTATGGATTCTATCAAGGAGAGAGTGTCACATGAACCTGTAGAGAGAAAGATTCAATATAGTTTTTACTTTTTTCCATTATGTGAAGGAAAAGAAGGAAGAAAGAGTTACCATGGAGAAGAAAGAGAAAAAAAATAACGTGGTTATGGGCCTTGTGCTGTCAAGATGCTAAGAATCTAAGAGAAGTGGTTTTTTTTATTATTGACATCGAATGACAGTTCCTGTCTTGCTTCCTTGTGGGCAGAACTACAATGCTGTCTGCTACGCCCTTTTTTGTATGGTTGTAGTAGAGCAAGCTCTACTGCTCTACTGCAGCTATATCCAGTGCCTCTGATATTTTATTTGGAAAATGTATACCTTGCACGCCCTTCCAATTCAGCTATATCATCTCAGTCTTTCTTAGCATGATGACAAGCAAGTCGTTTCCTTTTAGCCACCACTTTCCTCTTGCTGATAGTACTACTGACAAAAACATTAAAAGGTTCAGATGCACAAAGTAGACCTCTTCTCCATCTCTCAGAAAATGTCCTCTCCACAATAGTTACTTCTTGTTGTCAGGAAACAAGATTTTCTTCTGCAACTCAAAACCTTCAACAAAGTCTTTCTTCATGCTTGAAATTGTATACTGAATAGCTGAATGAACAATATAATCCTTGATATAAGAAGACTTCATAAAAATACCTCTTTACAGCTGCAGAAACAGTGAATGCCATCACATGCTAGAAATGAGAAATATTTCCAGAACGAAACTAGCATTTGTCCAACAAAGGGGGACAAGGATGATTAAGGGATTGGAGCACCTGTCACACAGGGAGAGGCTTAGAGAGCTGGGACTGTTCAGCCTGGAGAAGAGAAGGCTCAGGGGCATCTTGTCAATGTATAAAAATACCTGATGGGAAGGTACAAAGAAGACGTAGCCAGATTCTTAGTGGAATCCAGTGAGAGGATAAGGGACAATGGGCACAAACTGAAATCCAAGAAATTTTGTTTAAAACTAAGAAAAGGGTGATTGAACATTGGAACAGTTCGCCTAAAGAGGTTGTAGAGTCCTCATCCTTGGAGATGTTCGAAACCTGACTGGGCACTGTCCTGGGCAACCTGCTCTATCTAACTCTGCTCTGAGCAGTCGGTTTGAACTAGACAATCTCCAGAGGTCCCTTCCAACCTCAGCTATTCTGTGATTCTGCGAATGGCTGTAGTCCTTCCACACATTTCTCTGCCAGCATATGGTTGTGAGAAAACCAGAAGAAAAACACCTTAATATATTCATGAGAGTATGAATAGTAAGATAAAATAGTTCTGGCAGTAATTCCGTTAACTAATGCAATGACACCAGAGATGAAGCCAAATAACTGTAATTTGATTAAAAGAAGCAAACAAAAAACCTCATCATAAATTTCAACAGTCCTGGAGAAGAATAAGTATCAAAAACACTTGCGATGAA